TGTTGGATAAATCATAATCTTAATTTCGCACGTTTACATTGTCCGCGGAGCTCGCGTCCGCGGCGCTAGTTATTTGGTAGTTCCTATCCGTTCAGGCGCTGCTATCGGGGCGCTCGCGCATCATCATCGATCGTCTTGTCGATCGGACATTATTACTCTGTATCAAGTCGTGGGATAAACACGTGCCACGACGTTTTGTAAAGGGCTCAGTTCCCTTATTGCCAGACAAGTGGCATTCTTTGTGTAATCTCCGCATTAAAGTGTTCCTTAACAATTACAAAGTGCCTCTATTAATTCGTCCTAAGCAAGAGAAAATACATTTCTCGGCCACGTACCGCGAAGCAATCGTACCGTGGATAAACGTGGTGGGCAGCAGCCCTCAGTTTGTACAACAGTACATAACACAGTTTTGGTCCTTCGAGCCGGATACCCGGATTGCCGGATATCTTTTTTGGCATCACAAGTGAGGCAAGGGCACGAGCATCGAGAATTGCGGATGCGGAGAGTTTTGGCGCCAAGCCGAGCAGTGAACGAAGCAGATCGTTTCACGACATTACGACCGCCGAACCAAGTAAGCGATCGTTTTGCAGCCGTAAGTCTTTCTTCCGAGACGACAACGAGGATTGATGCCAACGGGCATACAAGGGCCAGCGTGGATCGAGAGGAGAGCAATACGCCACAGGACGCCATCGATCTTTTGCGAACGACGGTTCGACGCTGCAGCCGCCATTGTTACAAGGAGAGTTTACCACGCCATTCAACGGATACCTGCGTGCGCAGCGCGTCATACATAGGTAGGGGCTATTCAGTGGTACTCGAGACACATAATAAATTGACAAAGGGTCTAGCAGGATAAGATGGTCCAATCTGCCCCAGCAGGGATTCAAATAAATGAAAGTTTATCCTTTTCTATGTCGAAAAATAATAATTATCAGAAATTTTTAACTCTCTATTCCCAAAATTAAGCTTGCTATAGCAAAAAACGTGTATTTTCAGTTTTTATTTTTCTATTCCGTAACCATGATAACAATCTTTACAAAAAAATTCATGCGTGTAAAAAATATTAGAGTTTAACTATGAAAATTTTTTCAAATAATTTGACCTTATAGAAACTTTTTAAAAAATTCATAAAGAATTCAAAAAATGTTTTCTCGCGTTTAAAAAATAATGCCCTCTTGAAAAAATTCAAGAAGATGTATTTTAGGCCGAACTATATCGTCAATTTTTTTCAGATTTTTAAAAGTGGTGCGCCATAGCAAAAAAAATAAAAACTGTATTTATTCTCATTTTTTCGCTCAATTTTTATCAAAAGAAACAATTTAGGGGGTTGAATTGTAGGTCTTTTCAAGCTCTACAACTTTCTCATACACAAAATTTCGCTAGCTGTTGAGCGAAACTAGTTAGAGGCGAAAAACCGCAAAAATAAGCATTTTTTCTCATTTTATCGGCTCTAACCTGAGAAATATTCATTTTCGGTCAAAGTGTTCTAGAGACAATTTGTAGGACTTGAAATGAGCTTCAAAATTGTCTGATATGTCGTTGTCGTATCTTATGTAGAAGTCGAGATATTACCAAAAAATCGGATCAAACTATTATTTTTTTTTATTTTAAGGTTTTATATAGCTGTATTGAGATGAAAAGTCACCCAAATGACTTTGAAAATATTTTTTTTCTAAAAATTCAATAATTTTTGTAAATGTTCAATTTCAAAACCTTAAAATAAAAAAAAATAATAGTTTGATCCGGTTTTTTGGTAATATCTCGACTTCTACATAAGATACGACAACGACATATGAGACAATTTTAAAGCTCATTTCAAGTCCTACAAATTGTCTCTAGAACACTTTGACCGAAAATGAATATTTCTCAGGTTAGAGCCGATAAAATGAGAAAAAATGCTTATTTTTGCGGTTTTTCGCCTCTAACTAGTTTCGCTCAACAGCTAGCGAAATTTTGTGTATGAGAAAGTTGTAGAGCTTGAAAAGACCTACAATTCAACCCCCTAAATTGTTTCGTTTTGATAAAAATTGAGCGAAAAATTGAGAATAAATACAGTTTTTATTTTTTTTGCTATGGCGCACCACTTTTAAAAATCTGAAAAAAATTGACAATATAGTTCGGCCTAAAATACATCTTCTTGAATTTTTTTCAAGAGGGCATTATTTTTTAAACGCGAGAAAACATTTTTTGAATTCTTTATGAATTTTTTAAAAAGTTTCTATAAGGTCAAATTATTTGAAAAAATTTTCATAGTTAAACTCTAATATTTTTTACACGCATGAATTTTTTTGTAAAGATTGTTATCATGGTTACGGAATAGAAAAATAAAAACTGAAAATACACGTTTTTTGCTATAGCAAGCTTAATTTTGGGAATAGGGAGTTAAAAATTTCTGATAATTATTATTTTTCGACATAGAAAAGGATAAACTTTCATTCATTTGAATCCCTGCTGGGGCAGATTGGACCATCTTATCCTGCTAGACCCTTTTGTACTTCGTGCATTTCTTAATCTAAAAATATCAACGGAAGAATCCCTCGCGGTCCTCAAAAGGAAACGCGCAACGCTTAAGAGTTCGTGCACGCGAATTCGCACTTACGTCGAGTCAGTAGGGGCGGTCACTCCCGCCATTGCGGCTCAATTGCAGGAGCGTAAAGACAAGCTCGATCACTATTGGTCCGAGTATGATCAAATTCAATCGAATCTCGAAGCATTAGACGAGAAGGAGGAAGCCGATCGCGCAGGCTTTGAAGAAGCCTTTTATGTATTATCTGCAAAAATACGCGAATTGTTAAGTCCGCCGTCTGCGGTCTCGCGCGATACGACGGCATCTCCGTCCACTTCGAGTGTTCGTGAATCACTCAACGGCGTCACGCAGACGCACGTACGTCTTCCGAAGCTCAATTTACCTACGTTTTCGGGTAGCTATGACGAGTGGTTCCCTTTTCACGACAATTTCATGTCGGTCATTCACAATAATGTAACGCTCAGTAATATTCAGAGGTTTCAGTACCTAAGGGCCTCTCTCACAGGTGAGGCGAGCAAAGTAGTAAATTCTCTTGAAATAACCGAAGCAAATTATTCGGTCGCGTGGGCACTACTATGTAAACGGTACGACAATAAGCGCGTTATCGTAGAAAATCACATCAAAGCTTTGGTAGACACGCCTAGCATCACGAAAGAAAATGCAAAGGATTTAAGAAGACTCGCGGATGACGCATCAAGACACTTACACGCCCTTCAGGCGCTAAAATGTCCAACTAATCATTGGGACGATTTGCTGGTTTACATACTAAAGTCCAAGTTGAATAAAGTCACAATGCGAGAATGGCAGACGTCACTCACTGGCGACGAACGGCCCACATTAAAGCAGTTTCTCGATTTCATCGCGCATCAGTGCCAAACTCTCGAAGCTACACACGGTTCGGGAAGTGACAGCGTGGCTAAGGGCGCGGGGGTCGGACAACAATCGAGCGGCAAACGGCAGTCGTCTAATGCCGCAACGGTCAAATCAGGTTGTTATTATTGCAAGGGCGAACATTCTCTGTATAGCTGTAAGGATTTCTTGGCGCTTCCGGTGGCGCGTAGAATTTCCGAGATACGCGCGCGCAAGATATGCCTCAACTGTTTGCGGTCAAATTCTCATGTAGCCGCTAAATGCACATCGGGACATTGCAAGATGTGTCAAGCAAAACATAACTCTTTACTTCACTTAGATTCTCCCACAGCTGAAGCCACGGACAAGAACGTGAGCAAGACTGAGGAAGTAAAGTCGATTAACGCGTCTTCAATTTTAGCGACGCATTCCTCCGAATATAGCGCTGGCAACAATGTCATTCTGTCAACCGCGCTGGTATACGTGATCGACAAAGGGGGCACTCCCATGCCTTGTCGTGCATTGCTCGACTCAGGGTCGCAAGCAAATTTTATATCCTCAAAATTCCTAGCAACGCTTAACATAAATCCGCGGCATTTTAATGTTTCCATATCAGGAGTCGGCGGTTCCGCCGCAACGTCCTCTCGAGCAGCTCAAATTAAGCTACAGTCGCGGGTCAGTTCTTACAATGCTCACATTGATTGCATAGTTACAGATAGCGTTACCGAAAGGCTACCATCATTTTCACTCAAGCGAGCCGATTTCAGTTTTCCGCACAATATCAAATTAGCGGATCCACGATTTCACGTATCTTCAGAGATCGATTTACTAATAGGGGCAGAAATATTTTGGGATATAGTGTGCATAGGTCAGATTAAGGCTTCTTCTAAACATCCTACGTTGCAAAAAACACGTCTGGGATGGATACTCGCTGGGCGTACAAGCAATGCGCCTCAAGCTACCACAAGGGTACATTCGTTGCATGCCTCAGTATCCGATACACAGTTGCATTCGGAGTTAAAACGATTCTGGGACATGGATGAAACAACAGTTCAGGAAAGCAGTCTTACGATGGAGGAGAACTCATGTGAACGGCGTTTTCTCGACAGCGTTCAGCGGAACCAGCAGGGTCGACTCGTAGTTCAGCTCCCCATTAAGAAACATTTGATACAAAGAATCGGTGATTCACGGAACATTGCCTTGAATCGTCTGAGGACGTTGGAGAGGCGTTTCAAGCGCGAGCCGGAGGTTAAGGTTGCATATTCTCAGTTCTTAGATGAGTACCTGGCACTCGGTCACATGCGTCTCGCGAATCCATCAGGCAAAGAGGTATGGCCATCAGTTTACCTGCCTCATCACTGCGTCTTCAAGATCACCGGTAATTCTTCAAAAATTAGAGTCGTTTTCGACGCATCATCCAAAGGCAGCAATGGGCTGTCACTCAATGACACGTTGATGGTGGGACCGGTCGTTCAGCAGGACCTAGCGTCCACATTGACGCGTTTTCGTACATTCCAATATGTTGTAGTCGCGGACATAATTAAGATGTACCGTCAGATATTGTTGGATCCATCACAGACCTGTCTACAAAAAATTCTGTGGCGAAACGGTCCCGCGGATAATGTCGAGAAGTACGAATTACTCACACTCACTTACGGCACCTCTTCGGCCTCGTATCTAGCAACTAAATATCTTGTTTATCTCGCTAGCCAGCTATCACGGAAATACCCTATAGGCGCGAAGCACGTTATGCGTGATTTCTACATGGATGATATGCTTACAGGAGCAAATACTATCGAGGAGGCGAGGACTATTCGAGACGAGGTAATTCAATTGTTGAAAGAGGGAGGATTTGAGCTCGGCAAATGGGCGTCCAACAACATGGAGTTGCTTGAGGGCATCAATAATCAAAACGATCAACCGATTGACATTCATGGCGACATCGAATCTTGTATCCTAGGCACCAAATGGGATCGTCATGAAGACGCTTTTTTCTTCTGTTGCAAGGAAGCGTCCGCTGACAAAATCACGAAGCGTCATATAGTATCGGACACAGCTAAATTATATGACCCCTTAGGTTTGCTAGGGCCTGTTATTATTATCGCTAAGCTTATCGTTCAGGAGCTTTGGCAGTCGGAGGTTCAATGGGACGAGTCAGTCCCTCTCAACATTCACACACGATGGGTTGAATTTAGAGCGCAATTAGATTCACTAAATCATTTACGAATTCCACGTTTTGTCAATTTCAGCATGGACACGCAATCAACGCAAATTCATGGGTTCTGCGATCCGAGCCAGAACGCATATGGGGCTTGCATCTATGTTCGCACGAGGACAACACCCCACGAATATCGTAGCGAGTTACTATGTTCTAGATCGAGAGTTGCTCCTCTTAAGGCGATGTCTCTTCCGAGACTCGAGCTATGCGCAGCGTTATTGTTGGCACGTCTTATCGCTAAGGTTCGAGAGGCCATACGCATAGAGCACTTGAAAGTCTTTCTTTGGTCTGATTCCACCATCGCCCTTAATTGGATAACCTCGCCATCCCGGAGGTGGTCCACCTTCGTGGCAAATCGAGTAGGTGAGGTGCAGCGAATCACAGAAATTGAACATTGGCATCATGTCAGTTCGTCGGACAATTCCGCCGACATCCTTTCACGAGGTTTGAACCCTAATGAATTAATCAACTCTGCTCAATGGTGGCACGGCCCATCCTTCCTACAGAGGGATGACGATCAATGGCCAGACAGTTCCGTGGTTAGGTTACAACATGAGATTCCCGAGCAGAGGAAGATAGTTTCGACTGTAGCTACGGTAGACAACTGCATTGTCAGTGAGTTGATAAATAGACATTCTAGTATCGACAAGGTTTCGAGAATCATAGCTTATTGCCTGAGGTTCTTCAAGGCACGGCGTCCAGGCACGCCGGCAATTAGTGTAGCACCAGCAGAATTGTCATACGCTCGAAGCGTTATATGTAGAATCGTGCAAAGGCAGTCCTTCGACAAGGAATATATGGCATTACAAGGCGGGGGCACAATCGTTTCTTCTAGCAAGTTACTTCCCTTGGCTCCCTTTTTGGACAAGAAAGGGCTTCTGAGGGTGGGAGGTAGGTTAAGTCAGTCGAACCTTGAATACGAGGCGCGCCACCCGATATTACTGCCACGCGGTCACATGCTTACCAAGTTAATCATAGAACAAGAACATAGGCGTACATTACATTCCGGGGCGCAAGCAACCATGGCCAGCGTCAGACAGAGGTTTTGGCCGTTGTCACTCCGTTCTACCACACGTAAAATAATTCAAAACATGTTTTAGGGCCAGGCCGCGTCAGTCAGAGGCCGTTATGGGCTCATTACCAGCGGAACGCGTTACGCCATCCAAGTCATTCTCGCATTGCGGCGTAGACTACGCCGGACCGGTATTCATTAAGGACGGTAGGAGACGTAATGCTCAATTGCGTAAGGCATACGTCTCAATTTTCATTTGTTTCGCTACCAGAGCTGTTCACATTGAACTTGTAAGTGATTTGACTACCGATGCATTTATTGCAACTTTTAAAAGATTTATTTCGCGAAGGGGAAAGCCCTCTCAGATGCATTCCGACAATGGAACCGCTTTCATAGGGGCCCGAAGGCAAATTAAAGAGCTCTACGAATTTTGTAGCAGTCAACAAGCGAAATCAGACATACAGCAATTTTTACACAATCAGGAAATATTGTGGAACTTTATCCCACCGAATGCGCCTCACGTTGGCGGGCTCTGGGAAGCAGCCGTTAAGTCGGCTAAGCATCATCTTACTCGTATAGTAGGTCGAGCTCATTTGACGTTTGAAGAGCTACAGACTGCACTTTGCGAGATCGAAGCAGTTCTAAACTCGCGTCCTATTACCCCCCTAAGTGCGGATCCAAACGATTTGAGTTGTCTCACTCCGGGTCATTTTCTCATTGGCGAGCCACTGAATAGTTTTCCTTGCAGAGACGTAAGCGATTTGAACGAGAACCGGCTCATTCGCTGGCAGAGAGTCGAACAAATCCGTCAACATTTTTGGCGCAGATGGAGCGTCGAATACCTTCATTCGTTGCAGGAAAGGACGAAGTGGAGAAGCAACAAGGGTTTACAATTACAACCAGGTCAATTGGTATTGGTCAAGCAGCAGAACTTGGCGCCGTTGCAATGGGAAACGGGCCGCATCCAAGAGACTCACCCTGGGCCAGATGGTATTACACGTGTAGCCACTGTCCGGACCGCCAGGGGAAATTTTGTAAGGCCGTTATCAAAGCTCGCGATACTCCCCTTGGAGATATCAAGCTCGCACGCGGGCGACAGTACAGATTGTATTGCGTCTTCTTAGCTTTAAAAATATATTTGTATTCGAGCAAGCAACAGTAGTTATTAGTTTAAGCGTACCAAGTTCCGTCTGTCAATAGTTTTAAAATTAATGTTAAGTTCTCAGTGCATTAGTTTTCATAAGTAATCGGTTCATTGAAAGTCATCCTTTCAAGGCGGGCGGCGTTGTTGGATAAATCATAATCTTAATTTCGCACGTTTACATTGTCCGCGGAGCTCGCGTCCGCGGCGCTAGTTATTTGGTAGTTCCTATCCGTTCAGGCGCTGCTATCGGGGCGCTCGCGCATCATCATCGATCGTCTTGTCGATCGGACATTATTACTCTGTATCAAGTCGTGGGATAAACACGTACCACGACGTTTTGTAAAGGGCTCAGTTCCCTTATTGCCAGACAAGTGGCATTCTTTGTATAATCTCCGCATTAAAGTGTTCCTTAACAATTACAAAGTGCCTCTATTAATTCGTCCTATGCAAGAGAAAATACATTTCTCGGCCACGTACCGCGAAGCAATCGTACCGTGGATAAACGTGGTGGGCAGCAGCCCTCAGTTTGTACAACAGTACATAACAGAATCATCAAGTTCGATCTTTATTAATCTATTTAAAAAACTTCTTTTTAATTTATTAAATCTATAAGCACAACGAGGATGGTGGAAAACCAAGTAAAAGTTTAAAATTCCAAACAAATGTTGAGGAATAAATTCACGTCGTAAGTAGAACTTGAGGAATCTGATCCTAATTATATTCTTAATCATGAATTTACGCTGCTTAATCCATAATTTTAACAATCTTAATGGTAAATCACCAAACGTCAATAAAATAAATTCAAAAAACTTAAAAGAATAATAACATATTAGATTGATTTAAAGATTTTAATGAAAATTAGCTCGTTGCCCTTATTTCATTATATTAGTAGTAGAATAATAACAACCTTGATAATGTGTTCGTACCATTGTTTCAGCCTTGGTAAAGAGCCACCCTAAAAAAAGGTCAAAATCCGCCTGTTTTCAGGACCTCAAATTTTAAGTCGAAATGCACGTGAAATGAAAGTTTATAACAGTACATGCCTTGTAGAAAAATATCAGATTGAGCATGTCCCCCATTTTTGAGAAATGGGGAGTCCAATGGGGGTAATATACTGAAAGTATACTTTGTCGTTTATAGTAAAAAAAATAATAATATTGAAACATCCAAATTGGCACGTTATCACCACGTGTTTCAATATTATTATTTTTTTACTACAAACGGCTCACAGTGGGACGAAACGCAAAAATGTGTTCAAAATCAAATATCTCCAGATGGAATCGATGAAAGTGAATAAAACTTTTTGAGGACTATTCATTATTTTTTTCCTTAATTGGTAGATCTTTAGCTTTCGTGAAAGTTTCATTCACTTTCATCGATTCCATCTCGAGATATTTGATTTTGAACATATACGTTAAAACCAGTTTACTAACTCCGAAGGGTCATGTTTTTACGTTTTTACAAAAGGACTAACATGGTGGGGACTATTCTCATTATTTTTCCCTTAATTGGTAGTTCTTTAGCTGTCATTTCGTGAAAGTTTTAGTCACTTTTATCGATTCCATCTGGAAATATTTGATTTTGAACACATTTTTGCGTTTCGTCCCTGTGCTGCTCCATTCAGGGGGTCCCATTGGAACCCCTATTTCTAAAAAATGGGGGACATGCTCAATCTGATATTTTCCTACAAGGCATGTACCATTATAAACTTTCATTTTACGCGCATTTCGACTTAGAATTTGAGGTCTTGAAAACAGGCGGATTTTAGGGTGGCTCTTTAAACGTATGAATTTTGTATGAATTTTGTAATTTTGTAATTTTGTAATTTTGTAATCTTTTGAAAGAGATTTGTTAATATATTTATATTTTAACGCATTGACAACCGCGTAGATTTTAAATTTACTCTCACTTACCTGTTTTGTAATATATTTAATATATGTCTTTCAACATATTAAGATCTAATAAGATGCTATAAGCATCGAAATTTGTTAGATTGTATTGTCAATCTAACTAAAGTGATATTACCGCGGTAGTTATTTAGAGTTGCGTTGTAAGTCTGAAAAAATGTTCGGCACGCGATTGAGAGAACTACATACGCGATATATAAATTCACACATAATGATAATAAGCATCTTGATTTAGCTTTGACAGATAGGCTTCGCTTTGTGCTTCCTTCTTTCTTGTTATAGATTTTACAAAAAAAAAAGCTTGGAACTTTTTTGTACACTTAATACATCGAGATCGAGAACTAGCAGCGCCAAGTGTTTTTACATAAAAAATTTTTCTATTTAAATTAATTTTTTTCATTTTGTACTGTTACTTCTTTAACTTTTTGTGGTAACACTTGAGATGAATAAAGTAATGCAATTTTGTAATATAATAACGTTTTTAAGGAAGATTACTACTACTTTAATTGGAGTTATTACTATATATTGATTGGAGGAATAAATGTGTATGAATTAATTGTCTTTAAATTAATTGTGATATAATTCTTTTAAAGAAGAATTAAACCATTTGGATTGTAATAGGAAGATCTTTCAATAAGAATACAAAGGCATATACTAGGTTTCATTGTATATAAATGTAACGATGCCCCCCTAAAAATGCATCGTTCCCACGTGGTGCCAACGGGAGTAAGGGCAAGGCGCCTGTTCGTACATTAAAATTAATTCGCAGGTACAGCAGCCGCCGTTAAAACCGCCAGTCTCGCCGGAAAATGCCGACCGTCGTCGGGGACCGCCGATCGGAAACCTTCTCCCACAAGAAGCCGATCGGCAGAAAATACCGCGACCGACCGAAGTATTACAAGCGAGACTGGCGGTCTAGTATAAAATATCGCGACGTCGAGCCGCGCGTGGCATTTTTCGCTCCGCCGTTCTCATCCGCTCACCAGATCCTAGATCACGCTCCGATACCGATCCAAAGACTCGCTCGTCCGACGAACCTGAGGGGTAGGGCGTACCCTGCCTCTGCCGGGCGTTCCCGGCCGCCGAACAACCGTTGCCAGATATTAATCCCAATTCCGCACCTTCTTTTCCGCATCCTGAAATTCTCGTCCTGGTACTTGGCATTCGAAAAGGGGTAGGGCGCTCCCTGCCTCTGTCGGGCGTTCCCGCCGCGGCCGTCAAGTACCAGCTCCGCTTTCCTTCCAATTAATACTTTTGTTTTACGCGTCGCGCCGCGAAATCACACTTGCTGGCGTATACCCGCGTTCCGCCGTGTTGCAAATCGCCGACATAACACGCGACCGTTTGTACATACCGCGCGCGATTAGAATTAAATCTCGTTACATTGTCCGCGTCCGTATTGCGATTGTATATATTTCTGTTATCCGCGTTCGCCTACTTCTTTGTTCGTATCGCCGTGATTCGAGTCCGTCTCTGTATTATATTTTTACATGTTATATCTTCTTACTATTATATTATCTTCGTTTTCTTTGATGTAATAAACTATGTTCGTCGTCAAATATTATTTTCATATTATTTCTTTTGCGATTTCCGAACTATCACATATCCCATAAAAAACCTTTTTTTAAAAAAAGAAAAAAACATACGCCAAGTGCATATAAAAGATACTGAACTTCTTGATCAAAAACAGATATGAGATAAATATAATTGACCAAATGTATTCTTCATTACGCCAGTCACATAAGACAGACCAAAAGTGACTATAATTGTCAACTGGATTATAGTGAAGAAAAAACTTGGCGTGCCCGGGTCGCATTAATTGTAAACAGTATTCAGTGAAAACATTATTTCAACATAGTATTTGCATTATAAATTAAAATATAAAAATAACAGACATATGTATACAGATATATACGTATAATATATACGTATAATATACACGTATAATATAGTGATATAGTTAGTATCATCATTCATTATATAGTGATATAATTTGTGGGACATGAAAATATATTCACAACTAAGTATTATAATATGTTCAGTAAGCAATTATTAACATCTTTTCTTTGTTGAATTGTTTTCGCATATATTGTGTATACTGCAGAATATTGCGATAGAACCAAGGTTCTAGAATATTGCGTTTTAATGCGACCCGGGCACGCCAAGTTTTTTCTTCACTATAATCCAGTTGACAATTATAGTCACTTTCGGTCTGTCTTATGTGACTGGCGTAATGAAGAATACACTTGGTCAATTATATTTATCTCATATCTGTTTTTGATCAAGAAGTTCAGTATCTTTTATATGCACTTGGCGTATGTTTTTTTCTTTTTTTAAAAAAAGGTTTTTTTATGGGATTTCACTGCTTTTTGTTAATTATGAAAACGTGATAATAATGTAGGAAATTTAAATCCTCTAAAAATAAATACAGATTCTGTTTCTAAAATAGTTATTTTGTAAATTTCTATTTATTTAATATTAAAGATGTACTCGTATTGTATTTATTGACACTTAATTATACTTAAGTTTATTTGTACTTAATTTAGATTTGTTCTAAGAAAAATATATACGCGCTCTTTGCATTTCGTGGCCACTTACATACTTCAACTTTTAAATCATTTATGGATGTCCTTTTGTACCTTTAGCTCGCAATAAATTTGTGTAATGTCCTTCGTCTATATTTTTACCATGATGAAGAATCGCACTATTAACTTTATAAATATTATCACCGATACAAATTTTTGACGAAGGTATGGATTTAATATTAAGATTTGTAATCTTTATAACTTCTTCATTATTAACTTTAAATAATAATAATTGAATAATAAGTACACGTTTGGTCGTTGTTATACTAGTCTTTTCAAGTAAAGCAGTTGAATTACAATTACATGTATGTGTCACACGTACGATTGAAAAATACATGTATGTGTCACACGTAC